ATAGACTTATTTTGCATTGAAATGAAAATAGGTTGATATGCTATAATTGCAACATGTGTTATTTTTATGCTGCAAATTTGATTAGGGAGTGATAAAGTTGGTGGTTTCTACTATATATTATCAAAATATTCATTGTTAATATTTTAAACCTATAACACCCTGCTACATTTTTATTATTTGTGTTTGATAAGAAAAAATAGTTGGGCCAACTGAAGTGGGAGGGGGCTCGTAGAGCTGACTACTAAACACTTTAAAGAGAAAATGTAAATATTTACATTTATTAACAGTTATTACTGTGGATAGGGGCGCAATTCTGTCTTCGTCAGCTAAATTTTGGTGAAAGTGCTTACGGTACTTGGAAATATTCCGATAGCTTATACAGATTTGAGAAAATCAATTCATCAACTCCGTATCGCGTTTAAATATGACACAACCGATATGTTCTCTATAAAAAGTTAATTACCGTGATTTTTATGTCAATGTCCTTACCATTACCGGATGTTATCGGCTGTTACTTTCCCATTTCTGAATTACCGGTAATTTAATGACTACTTCTGAGGTAAGGGCACAATATTCACAAATAGCAGATAACAAATCGTTTTGTTGTATCTCCAAATGATCGGATGCCTGAAAATAGAGGCTAAATATAGCGAAAAGGTGGCATGTCAAGGAGATGTAATCAATTCAGATAAAATCAGTGAAGTTTCCAGAATAATAATTACAACTTGATTATACTCACCAAAGTACTATTAGTCAAATTAACTTATTTATATGACGGAGCAACCCACTTGATAACTTGGCCGATTTAACACGCAGTTTTTTTTTTGTTGAAAACACTACCAAACCTAACAGCGTACGGTAATTGTTTTTCACCACTTCCAAAGAGTGACTACAATATCTTTGGATTCTGCGGCTATAGGCTTCAAAAGAAATAGATCTTTGAGTATCGCTCAAAAAGCGTAATAAATGGTTGATGTGCCTAGAACGAACCTGGAATAACGCGCTTCCAGAAATGTTTGAATTTTTATAAATGTAATTTCCATTTTTCTGTCCATGAATCTGCCTTTGGGTATCTGACGGTCCAGGACACTTTCCACAGCGTTTCTCGTTATAACGTTACAAATCACTGCCCGCTGTGACTATTACGTTCATACCACGTAGCAGACACCACCTACGCGGTTTCATATTTGTCTATGTGTAAACACACAATTTAGGTGTCAGGTGTTGCAATCACACTATGTCATTATAGTTTCACGTATCCATTTGTAGTGAGGGTGAGCTGACTCCCTCGCGTATTACGCTGAATTGAGTACATTGTTATATCTACTGAAAGCGTTATGTCTACCGGAAGGTTCTGTCCGTTTTCAGATTAAGATGTTTTTTTCTTATATTCGATAAATTTTATGTTGACGAAACTAACCGTATCCCCATATATTAAGATTGTAAATTGGGATAATTATGTAAGTTGGACTTTTCAATCAAAAATAAAAGTAAAAGTAAAAGCGCATATTCACCTCATTAAACATCTCGTTATAATACAATCAACAAAAGTAAGTTGTAGGCTACTCCTGTTTATATAGTATACACTTTATTTTTCTGAATTTGAATATGTCTATGATGTTTCTTTGAATACTTCGCCAAGTCGATTGACTCAGTACAAACCGACAGAAATGAGAAACACAAACTTGTGTGATGATAGATATCTTTAAGCAACAGAAAACTTGTTGACCGAAGCTCAAATATTATTGCCAATAATTCCGTCGTTTAGGTAGTCGTATATTTTGAAAATTGATTCGGAGGCGGCGGAAATAAAATGGCTGGAAGATAGTGTTACAACGTTTCAGAGAACCTTTCTCGTTTTCAGACATCGTTTGATGTTGGAAATGCGGTAGATGGTCGTAAATTGTTGCACATTTGGTGTCAGCGTAAGACGTTCTATTATTAAGAAGCTGCTGGTCTCAGTGACACGATTAACGTGTTTCACATAATAAATCACAAATATGTTCAATGCCTCTGGCATGGAACCAGAAATATGATAGATTTGCTTTAACTAGTTTGATATGCAGAGATCGAAGATTCTTCGTATCAAAGTGAACCTACCTAATCACGATTCGATCTCGCCTTTTGAAACAATTTGATTCATCCCTCTGCTTTTAAACCTCCAACGAAGGCGTAAGAAGTATAGAGTCAATCTACTTGACGCAACTTTTTTATCTTGGTATCTCTTCTTACCATGTTGGGTATTTGATCACGAGAGATAAACACCTGTATTTTTTCTCTTTCTCTTTCATTCTGATGCAATCAACAAAAACGAGACTAATACATCAATCCCACATTTTCCAGAATATCAGAATATATAAGGCAGAATTTTGAACAGAAAGACTACATAAATCCGTCATTAGCGCTAATGGGTATAGAATCACATAATTTGACCTACATACTCTTGTATTTACGCACTTCACGACAACCACCCATTCAATTATTCAATAACAACTCTATTATTCATCGCAGGTATCATTAGTTTAACAAATTATAGCTGAAATCAATAAATTGCTGCTCAACTTACAAGTATAAATTATTTACAGAAAAACACTCATCTAATAATGATAGAATCGATATCTTGTCGTGAAAAACAAGGCATTGGAAAACTCATTAAAAAACTAAATGCTTTAATTCTAAAGGGAAAACACATGCTATTTCATGGATAATATAATAATAATATTTATATGTAAGTTGAATTACTGCCACCGAAATACTTGTTTTTTAAAAAAAAATATTTTGAATTCGTATTTCAACTGCACATAGAACGATATAATCGGTATAAATAACTCTAGTTCTGCTCAGGCTAAAGGGTGGGTTTCATATAACAGAACCAAAAACTAGCTACATTTGTCATCTGTTTCTGTGATAAGGATATTGTGCCTTGGATCAGTCTGAGATAATCTAAAATTTCTGGTAAAGGAATAAATAGTCTAAAAATCGAACTTTCATATTGGTAATCATAAATTGAGACTTCTTGACAGTATCTGATAGCAATTGTACATTGTTTTGAATGACTTTCATATCGTTCTCAAATTTTTGTGAAATGAGCTGAGCGAATGATTTTTGATTATTGATGGCTATTATAAGTTCGTTTTCCTTGTCTTTTAATGATTGAAATTTATCGTTGATTTCTGTAAGGTCATCTTGATCTAAATTTCCTGTCACATACCTAATTATGCTGCCAAATCCGTTAATAGTTGCTCGACGCCTTCTACTGTGTGAATGATAAGGTGATAATTTTAAATATTCCATTTTTACATTATTAACATTTTTGTATAGGTCCTCTAGTACCGGTTTGAGGTTGATCTCATTAGAACAGTTTACTACCATACTATAACTAACTTCTATCTATCTAATAACATCAGCTATTAAGATGAGATTATGGCTAAAAATAAACGTATGATAATGGCTTATTAATTTTGCGTCCCCCAACCGCTCCGGGTAGAAACCCTTATTGGTTGGGACTTGATGAAACCTCAGCGGAAGACTCTGCGGCCATCGGGTTGCCAGTAACACGACCACACACCAAAGATTCATGGGAAACATTGAAAAAACGTTCGTCTTCTACCTTTTCTTCTTTCTTCGGCTTCACTAGTTTCTACGATAGACTGCTCGAGTGCCTCGAATTCGGACGCCGAAGGTACACGTTTCACGACACGCTGAGGGATCCCGGTTGAGCCGCCAGTTAAATTACTGCCACCGAAATACTTGTTTTTAACAAAAACTTTATGTTGATTAACGGTACAAAAGGACTTTTGTGAAACCTTGTCACAACGATGCGTAAAACGGGACGGTTAGACAAGAAGTGACAAGATTTCCTCACGTTCTGAAATGCTAGTTGGCTATTGCTAATGCCCCCAAGTCGAATCTGCTAGTATAGGTATTTAAACTAAGAATCATATAAGTTATTTTTGATAACTTCTTTGATAAAGTGGTGATGTGTGATTCCCAAATTAAGTTCGCTTCAACGAACACTTCAAGGAAATTCACGGGTTCTATTAAATTACGTACTTTTATGTGGACGAATACTGAGTAGAGGAGATTGAGTTTTCGCTATATTGAGAGATAAACTGTTGGTATTAAACCAGGTTTGTATGTTCTTAAAATGCTGCTGAGAATTGAGTAATACCTGGTCAAAATTACGATTGGAGGATATTGATCAGCAAACAATATACAGGGTGTCCGCAAAGTTGGGATTTTCCTTTTCAGAAACAACTACCCTTGAAATAACAAAGGTAATGTGTGGTGAAACGAGGGCGACCAAGTAAAAAAAATAAAGGAAAAAGTACTCACTCTCCAGTTGACGAGAAGGGCTAAGTACGTCTCTGCCCGAAATCATACCGCTCCAACAGAAAATGAAATCAGCTGATGCGCTACCGAGCAGACGCCGGCGGTGGTGCAGACCACGAACATAGGTAACAAATATGACCATCGTGCAGAAACCACATTGATTGTCTTACACTTAATGGCACATCTTCTAACAAGGAAGGCAAAATGTTGCGTAAAAAGTCTAGGTATTGCATCCCGTCCAATCGATTTGGGAGAATAAATGGCCCAATGAGCATACCGTTCACCATGCCAGCCCAAACATTCACCGAAAATGTTTGTTGAAAATGTGCCCGACGGACAGCGTGCGGATTTTCTACTGACCAAACATGAGTGTTGCGTGTTCACCCCATTACGCGTGAACGTAGATTCGTCTGTCACCAATATGCACTTCAAAAAGTCCGGATTATTGTCATGTTGATGCAACAACCACTCACAAAACCGCACTCTTGCTGGAGAATCGTCAGGTTGAAGGGCTTGTACACGTTGGACGTGAAACGGATACAGCCCCTCTTCACGCAGCGTTTGCCACACTTGAGTTTTTGATACTTGCACTTCTCTAGCCACGTCTCTAGTGCTTGTTGTTTTTTGAAACGCAATCGATTGTACGGGTTCGTTTACCTCTACACGCGTGACCGTAACCGTCGGTTGAAGGTTGCATACTGACCTGACTCACTGACCCCGACCCAGTTCTGTCGTCGGGTTGAGCTAGTGTCCTAGTACCACTCGGGGATGTCGCGAGTCGCGGCTACAGGACGGTATTCAGATATTTTTGATGTTGCAGAGCCCTTTATCTCGGTTCCCTTAAGACATTGGTGTATATGGTACTAAGAAAAATTGCTTATGTTTTCAATATCTACACGTCGTGTAAAGGAAAACCCCAACTTTTCGGACACCCTGTATATTGATTGATGCTTCAGTTTGGCAGACGATTGATGTAAATCAAAAAAGAATCGGTCCTAAGGCACTTCTTTGGAGAGCTCGTATTGTCTCCTGTTTGATAAATAAGATCCAATTAAGGACAGGTTGTTAATACTAAAACCATTCAGCGATAACTTTTGAACGAAAATGGGATGTTGGACGCAGTCAAATGCTTTTGTAAGTTCATAGAAGCTAGTTAGAGCGAACACGTTATCTAATAGAAAGAAGAAGACATTGAGGTGTCAGTCATCACAGGGTTATAAACCGCTTAGTAGGTAACCTTTTGATTCTCTTTCCACTCTAGCTTTCAGGATAAGCATTTTTCACAAAAAAAACTACAACAACCCTGGGTCTTACCTATCTGATATTGTTTGGTTCCAGCACAGTAAATCCTAATAATGTGAGCCTATGATACAGTAGAGTATCATAGCAACACAAAATGTGTCTCTAGACCACCTCCATAATCTAGAGGAGGATGATAAGGATGTAAAGGTCAGTCAACACTCCATCCCATAATTGCAGACGTTATCTAAGGATAGATAAAAACGTCCCTGACTGGCCGTTGGGTCCACAATCAGTTGCTTTGCCTAACCGAGAAGTTTTGATATGCTTATCTACGTCAGAGTGTTAATCCATTCCCCTTTAAGCCTTAAATTCTATTTGCAGCTGACCCAAGCTTTCTTGGAACGCAAAAAGTTTTAATGAGAATCTGCAATTGCCAGGAATTTATTAGGTGACTTGAAAAATGTGCTCGCATACAAAAGGGCGTTGTTGGTATACAAAAACATGTTGCTTTGCTGGAGCACTAGACATTACCAGTTTCAAGATGATCTGGAGAGGAAGTATTCGCGAACATTTTATAGAATAAGGTCTGTCTGTCTGTCTCAATTGTATATGGTAGCATTTAACGACCAGACAACAATAGAATCATTTCAGCATGAAAACTACAGGACAAGCTTCACGTATTACGTCAAATTTGGCGTCAAATACTTAAAAAAATGGATGATGCATTTTTCCTCAACTCATGGTAACGTTTCATGTGATCAATTTTTTAAACGTTTCCACATATAATTTTGCTCCTCATAAAAACGGATTTTTATGAAAATGTTATGTTATGTATCTAGGGCTTTAAGCGTGCGCTTATAGCCCGCAGTGTAAAATTTAAGCCCATGCACGCTTTTCCGCCCGGTGGTAGATAAAATTAAATACTTCTACTACTAAATATAAATTGTGGCCAATTTTAAGTTTTACCTCATCTATGACTTGATTTAGTGGGAAGTGAGAAATGGATAATGGATGGAACATCAATTAGGGTTGTGACCACTCAGGAGTCTCCAGAGCTACTGTACACTTAATTCAAGAGACCACGAATCTCACTGATATTGCTGCTACATCCAAACCACATAGTTAGTGGTTAAGCGTAAGGGCTGCGATAGAACAATTAATAATGACTATTATTTAAGCTCTTCCGTGATAGAAGGTTTAGCTTAAACAGATTAGAGGGCGGGTGTGGTTGCTACTCTCCAATATTTGCTCATTAATATAATATTAGGGAGGTAGAACTTCGTCGTGCACTCATGTATCCATGTCGCTTACGTGTAGAAGCTAATTTTAAGTAACCCGGATCAATATTTCAGAGCGAGCATGATATATGGCAATCACGATTTTATGTAGCATTTCAGCGAAATATACAGACTGCTAATAGTTGGGTCGCTTGCGGAAAAATCTCTTGTTCGGACTTTCCAAGTCATGCTTTCAACTCTTCCAGTAATCAGGCCCTTTTTAGCGGCGGACAGTCTCAGCAAAGGTCGATCGGGCCGAAGCGGTCTTCCTTTTTTTATTACTGCTAGATAAGCTACTCATAGAGGTCACAGCTAGCTGGCCATCGCACAGTGGTTCAGAACACTGAACAGCTGGCAGAGAATATAATTTCTATGTCATTTATATGACACTGGATATTGCAGGATTTATTGGATCACTGATATCAGATCTGGGACTAGTTTGTCTCTATGAGGGCAGTGTCATGTAAAAGTCGTTTCAAGGGCACTTTCTAACGAAGTCTACTGATTGAGCCCAAGCACACGTGACTTAGGCTTTTCTGGTTACTGAGTCCAAATCAGAGGTGAGAGAGCATGTGTAGGTTATTTCATGGATGGACGAATTCAAAACAAATCTAGCAATCGAAGTCAGATGCGTGTCATATAAGCTTTTGTGGTCGTTTAATATAAATCGATGTTCAGCTTGCTTCTATTGATGTATTTGAAAACCATTTATGTCACGTAATAGACAAATTGATGAAATTTGAGTAGTACATTCAGATAAAGTTAGCAGGAAATGTTTCTAGATTTTATCCAGCGATCATTAAGGTTCATAGGAATCATTAATCTCAATTCGGGCAGAAACTTATCAAAAACCTCAATGAATAATAGTGACATGAAATAATAAAGGGGAAATAGTTATACGTTCCACCCACCGTGCACATAAAAACAACAATCACGGATTTCTATTTCATCGAATGAAAGTTCGGAGCCTTTTTATTATGATACATATTCGGATGCTCAGAATTTTCTAAAACCAAAAGGATGATACAGGCCTGAAAATAAGTGCCGAAAGTTCACCACAACCATCTGCTATAGTGAAACTAGCGCAAACAAACGAATTTATTTTTATCTGTTGTTAAGAGCTCACCTCATGACGATTGAAGATGACTCATTAATCGAAATGTTGTTAACCAAAACACGTTAACACAATGGAAGTCCGGTATACAACATTCCAATCATCTATTTTTGTACTTCGTTTTTTGAATTGTAGCCTAAAATCGTGCGACACGCCTTATCACAAAGGCTTCCATCGTTTTTGGCGGTCACGTTTCAATGTCATACATAACCATGTCATGGTGCGGCTTATGTTCCTTAAGGAGAAATACACACAGCGCAAACCAGCGAATTCGAATTAGTCAATCAGGCTTAAGCCGCCAGTTGACAGTTACTGACATTTTGCATTAAATTCGTACTTTTCTGCGAAAGAATATAAAAGTGCGCGGCACGGGTATCACGTATATTGAAAAGTGACATGCCGATTTTTTTTGACATCATGCTGGTTTTTCTTTGACATTTTGTAGGTTTTTCTACAAGATGTTATCTTAACACTTAGTCGTACGTGTTGCCTAAACGTCATGAGGCTTGTTATCGATCCTTGGCTCTGATATGATATACAATCTGCTTCTAAGATGGCATTACTGGAGGTCTAAGCTGTAAGTTGTATGTGTTGATGATAATTACATTGGGTTCTTGTCTCAAATACACTTAATTGAGATTCAAAACTAGAAATTAGTTGCGCATCCACTTTTTCTTATCCATTCTGGAAATTACATATACAAATTTGCTGAATTTCAAAAATGAGAGAGATAAGAAATAATTATATTCACAGTACACTGTCGAATTACAAGCCATATACATGCTAACAGTAATTGCACACAACGCGGGCGCAGTGATGATTTTCCGTAATTCTGCTCAGTTTTTCGTAATTTATAACTTTGAACATAACCTCTCTCCAGAAAGCACACCATAAAAATAACCCGTCGGGCACAGCCAACAGATATACTTCATTGGCAGCATATTCAGTAATGATTTTCTCACACAGCAAGTATCACTGACTTTGAACACATTCAGACCAATACACATAAATCATCCAGATCAACCAACTTTCTTCTCAGAGATAAAGACTACAGACAAGGACCTTTTGGCCTCACAAAACATATGCAACCAATAATGCGTGTAGCTTAGTTGAGTGATTCCTCCTTAGATGGACGTTCACAACGATCCTAGTGAGCAAATGTGGAATGACTGTTTGCGCCCTAAAAACTACTTAGTTTGTAAGTTGACATCTTATAGGTTTTTTTTTACGTTTTATATGTTTTTTACATGATACTCATGCGGGTTCCATACAATATCATAGTGTCTCAGACTGTTGCCAAAAATGATGACGGTTTATATGGATTTAAAAAAGCAGTTCAAGCTGAGTAAAAGAGGATTTTCTATCTATTCTCCCAAAGTAAAGTTCGAGAGGAAGGACCGACGGTTTTATTATTCATTCATTCTTATGACAGGAACAGTATGACTGAATGACAGAAAATAATGCTCGCGTATGGACTACATTGTCCATGCCTATACCGTAGGTAGTTATGTACTAAGATAGCCACAGACCACAATAGCCTGAATCATGCTTTGTGTTCGTTTACACCGTGCGTTCATGGTTTAGATTTAAAACAAGAATAATTAAAAACTAAAAATATTAAAACATGCAAACTTAAAACATGTTGCACGTAAGCGAATATTTAAGTACGACTTTCAACAATGAGCAATGAAAAATATTATTAACATTCGTTTGCCCAAGTTTATACCACTAACCCTAAATTCCTACGAAAACAACGTAAAAAGTATTTCACGAGTATCCATCACTTAGTGAGCAGCAAGTGACATATTAGTCTGTAACGTTGGCAGTAGTGAATGGGGCACAAATAGTAGATGGTAAAATTGGGGACCGTATTAAGAGCTGTTTCCAAAGATCTAGATAATTTTAGTGACTGGGAATATACGAAGTACATACAGAAAAATGTTTATTAGAAAATTATTATAATACATCTGGGATTTATTGATTACGAGGTAAGTCAAAAGAATATACCGTGTTGTCCTTTCCAGTAGCTTTTACATATAACAATTCAGACACGTGTTTTTGGCTAATTATCCGTCATCAGTGCAACGTAATTCAAATATGGCTGTTTCGGTTCTCTTTAAAATCATGATGTTTCAAGTTCTAAAAACTAGAAACGATTAACAATGTCAAAAACTGTTTATCTTATTTTATTTCTACCTGACTTGAAATGTCGTCATGATCATTAGCAGCCAATTTGCATGTAGCATTTTTATTAACTTTTCTAAATAAAACAGCACGACAAAATATTGTTCTCTCTACCTGGCGTTGACGGACCTGTCAGGATTGTGTCACTTGTCGAGATCGAGAATTTGAAATATTACTAAATTATCAGCTGCTATTCTGCCGTAATGGATACTCATGAAAATGGTTTTGAGTCCACAAACGTTTTCGGGGTCTTTCCATTATTATCACTAATAAACTATAAACTTTATTCGAGATCACAATCTTTCCGAAGTCAAGTGTTCCATGAAGCCCAAAAAAGTAATCTAAAACTGCTTTATTTATCAGTGACACAGTTTTTATTGTCTCCTGAAAAGTTCAAATTATTGGACGAGTTTTGCACTGGCCGATTCATTTATACCCTTCAGTTTCTTAGGCTGAGGTTCCATGTGTATCCAGGAGCACAAATATTTCCTACGACGAAGGTAATATCCGCGTTTTCAACAGTCTCGCGAGCAGAGAGATGGTGGCTTCACAGCTGAGTGATTCTACTATCGATATTCTGTACAGTTTGATTTTATGTTGTTCTGAGTGAGTGCTTTTCTTTACGATAAGCATTTTATAACTTTCTAGAGATGTTTTGATTAAATGCGCAACGGAATGACGTTTTGCATTTTTTAAGGGCGGGTTTGCATGGATGGAGGTCATAAGAAAAGTCTGGTTTGTTATGATTCAGGATTTGATAAAACTTATACAAGTTATTCATGGAATACATAGGTTTCTTCAATAAAGTTGTTTGTAGTTTAGATGACAGATCTTTAGTTGTGAAAGCCAAGTAATGTTAAACCAAGCAGTTTGACTGGGATGCGTTTGTAAATAAGTTATTGCAGAGTCATGTAATGACACTTGATGACAGCCGACTAACTTCTAACCACGTTTTCTGCCACAATTTTAGCTATTATAGGAGACCCTAGGAATACGATGTAGCATTTATCATGCAAAATATATAGTCCGCTAATTTTGAGCAGTTTTTCATAACCAAATAAAATAAAAAACAATTAACCCTGAGAATGATGAGTGACAGAATCCTTATTCCCAAGGTTTTGAGCTCGGAAAGAAAAGCACACTTTTGACGTTCCAGAAGGAGTAATG